GTTGAGGAAGTCAGCTAAGGCCACGCAGTGTCCTGAGAGTGGTAACTCCATGACAACTGTCATCACCACAGACCTAAAAGGACAGTATGTATATTGGGGTGGTGGTGGGGGCGGGTGCAGGGGAACAGCAGTTACTAGAAGTCAGAGAGGGCAGCCAGGCAGGCACCAACTGGTCACATGACCAAGCGTGTGGCCAGTGACCTTCAGCAAAAGATGCATCCTGTGTGCACCCCCCTCCTATCTACTGAGGAATGGATACCAGCCTCGCTCTCCAGGGGGCCAGAAGAGGGGATTCTCTGCTATGATTCAGTCCATCATATACCGTAGCATGGAGTTCAGGAAGCTCAGCCTCCTGGAGGTCGTGGGGCAGAGGAGCGTGTGAAGGACACACACTTGACATGAGTGATGTGTAGGCCCGACGTGTAGGCCTGACCCATGAAACACCGTGACGGTGTGAAATGTTATTCTAGTTCCTTATCCAGTGCCTCTAGGATCTAATCAAGAACCCACAGTGTTCTCATAAAGTCTCTGGCCTTCAGAGTTTTAATTTAGTCAGGGAGACAAATCTAATGCATGTGAGGCAAACTATAAGAAAAAAGATTAAAATTAGACAGTACTGTTAGCCCATCTTGACAATTTCTTATAGTGCTTAACATTTTACAAGATTATTTCACACATTATTTCACTTCATTCTTAGCAAAGCATTTGAAGTAAACAGTATCCTAGACTCCTCTTTGCACACGAGGAAACACGGGCTCAGAAGATTGTAACTTACCCAAAGTTATACGTCTCGGCGAGCCTGGGGCTAAAACTTGAATCAGACTTTTACTTAAAATTCTCACAGGTCCCCTGTTCTGGGAGCTCTGAAAAGGAACCTCGCTGGCAGCTGGGGTTCCTGGAAGCCTCAACAGGCTCCTACTGAACCTCCAGAAATGGGTGAAATTTGAAGAGTTCAGGGGTCAGGACACTGTTTCACTAAGGGCCACTTAGTACATATCTGACTTTCAGGCCACAGAACCTCTTGTGTCTCTCAGCCCTGGATCACGCCTAAGCAAATGGGCACCAGGCCTTATTTTAAAAATCCAGTAGCAATCGGATTTGGTCCAAGAAGTAGAGCTCCCCAACCTCTGGAATACAGGGCTGAAGCTGGGCAGACACTTGGGAGAGGGCTTGGTCTGTGGTATCTACCATGCAGATGCCCAGAAGCTGGAATAAAGATGGAGGAAGCTGCCCAGCTGGGGCAGGAGTGTCTGTGGGAAGTAGTGGGAAGCAGGGATAGTCAGCGTCCTCGCCAGCCGACGTTGACTTCACAAACCAGCTGGCCACTCCAACAGAAGCCTATTGTCTCTTCACTCTAGAGGCTCAAAGTCCAAGGTCAAGGTGTTAGCAGGTTCCTTTCTCTAAGGTCTCTCTTGTTCGCGTGAGGATGGTTGTTTTTTTCCCCTGTGTCTCCACATGTCGCCCCTCTCTAAGTGACTGTGTCCAAATTTCTTCTTCAGATGACACCGGTCATGACCTTATTTTCACTTAATTGCCTCTTTAAAGACTCTGTCTCCAAATACAGCTCAGAGGTATGGGGTTAGAACTTTTCTGTCAGTGCTTATTTCTGAGGGAACAGATTCAGCCATCAGAGAAATTGGATGAACCAGACTTAGGGAGTTTCAGACTCCAGATTAGAGTCAGTGAAGTAAGAAATCAGGAATCCTTTTGCTTGTTAGCCAGCACTCTGATTAGCATTTTGAGAAAATGAATACTAATTATAACATTCATATGCAAAAAGGACAATACAGTGGGCATTTGCCAAGGAGATGGCAAAGTAATTCTTCAGCTCCATCCAAGAGTACATGCATGCCTGGACAACTGGATCCCAGCCCTCTGGCTGAGCCAGGACTCAGCCCATGCGCTCCATATGGCCCCTCTCAGCGCTGCAGAAGTCCAGGGGGGTGGTGAGAAATGCCCTCAGCCCCTAACTCCCAGCTTCTGCCTGGGGTCTGGCCCAGATGCTCCAGGCCTCTTCACCAAAATTTGAGTTCTCTGACCTTGGGTAATGAGGTTCCCAGTCACGTTCCAGGGTGAAGACTGGGCATTTCTCTTAACAAATCTAAAAGAGCTCAGACATCCCTGCTGACAGTCACAACAGGACACTGCAGCTCTCTATGGTAGGGTCAGTGACCATGCTGTCTTGGGTCACCAGAGAGCTCAGAACTAGATAGAGTCCTCCCTCTCTCCCCAAGTTCATTCGTCATTCTCTCGTTTGAAGCTTTGCTCTAACGTCACCCAGGCAGTCACAAGGCTGAGACTGAAGACCTCAAGGAGCAAAGCCAGCTATTTCCTATGTGTATGTTCTCAGCATCTCCTCTTGGCCTCAGGGATGGGAAGGAAGGGAGGCCGAAAAGAAAGGTAGAGGCAGGAATTCCTATGAAGATGCTGCACACTTTTCCTCAGGGTTGATTACTAAGTAACCCTAGTTACTCTTCCTTTATCACAACTAAAATTGCTCTTAACTCCCAAGCTTTGGCCAGCACCCGAACACAGTCATTGTTTATCCCCAAGAAGCTGGACCATCTTTGACCACATAGTGCTTCGTGCTGGCATCACAATGGCTGGATGAGATCTCATTTCTTTTCACTGGAAGCACGAGCGTGAACACACTGGAACAGGCTGGAGCAGATGCACCACCTGGAGATTTGTTTGAAACAGTAGAAGTCATTGCCTGGAGACAGCCATTTTGTAGAGAGGATTGTGATACCAGGGCCTGCTTTTTGTTGGGCGGCCACAGCTGGCCGCTGACCTTGCGGCCATCCTTTCAAAGCTCAACCAGGTGCTGATGGAAGATTCCCAAATATTGATACCGATGTTCACAACAGCTTGCGTCTAGGCTCCTCCTCCAGCACGCCAAATTACGTGACTTCTGCTTTCAAGGGATTATTGCATTTTAGAAGTGGTTTATTACAATCTCCCCGGGATCAACATACCACTTTTTCCCCAACAGATCAGGAGGGACATTGGTTGTACCAATCAAGCAGAAATTGTCACCAAGAGTAGATGTTTTATGAAGAGAAGACTTTAATTCAAGATTAATGTCAGTTGTTGACAAGATGGAGACTACCCAAGTCATCTTGGCATCTGTGATAGTGCCGTAAATGTAATGACGCGATCCACCACCTACAACAGCAGCTGTTCCTCATGCTTGCACAAAAACCTCATTTTCTTTTGGAGACATCTCAGTATGTCGGGAACAGGGTAACCCAGAAACCTTTATTTGATCCACAGAACCTGCAACACTGATGCCAAAACCCAAAACTGATGGTGCGTCTGCATAAAACGTCCAAGTGTTTTGGGTGTCCCATCATTAGCCAAGGAGCTTGTCCCCCACACACCACCACATAGACAGGCAGGAACTTGGTGAGATGAGGTGACCCCATGTTTAGTCCTTATGCCTTTATCCCTCCAAGCAAAAGACCATTTATTATAACCGTCAGCACTCTCAATAGAAACATAGATTTTTCTAGAAGGGAAATTTGCATAAATCATTTATCTCAGCTCATAACTGTCAGTGCTTTTGTTCATATAGGATTTTTGAGAAGTGAAAATATAATGCTATAGGGTTTATCCCAAGCTTTGGATTTTAAAGATGTGTGTTTGAGACCTGACCCTTTACATAGGTTAAAATAAGCCTGCTGCTTTTCTGTGCAGAACCAGGCTTCAAAATTCTCACTGACAAGCAACATTCCAGAATGTATATGGCACATGATCCAAAGTCCAAGAGAAGCTGAAATGAAGACACACCTAAAACTTCTCCTTGTGCCCTTTTCTGGATCCAAGGGCCACCTACCACTCCTTACCGGGGCCTGTGCCTCCTTTTCTGAGTAGTAACAGAATGGCCACTTCGTTCATTGCTAAGTCACTCCTCACTCCTCCCTAGAGGCCTCCTGGGGGCCCAGCATAGGCCATGCAGCTCCACCCCTATTTCAGTGAAGGGGAAAATACTCTTCTTCAGATTCCCTCTAAGACACTTGACACCCAGAACCCAAAGCGCATGGCAAAGCCCAGAATTCCTTCTCTAGCATTTACAATAACGGGTGTCTACACTCCCACTAGCTCCTTCGTCGCCACTACAACTGCCCAAGAGAACTGCAGAATTCTTCTCCCTTACAAACAAACCACTTCTGAAGACCACTCATTGACAAGCAATTTAGCAACTTGTTTGACATTTGAAGCTGATTAAAGGCAGATACGTATATGTTCTGTGTAAGATTGAGTCAGAGGTACCTGGTGGGTCTTTACTGGATGGAATTAAAGATTGGACTGGACAAAAGGGCTGGTGGGTCAGTGCATTCTTTATTCACCTGCAAATTGGAAAGGAGACACTTTGGTGTAGGTGAGAAAGTCCTTGAATCCGCCATAAGTGGGAGAGAAGTCAAGTCACCCGCCATGTTGTTTGTAGCAGTCACACACCACCACATAGACAGGCAGAAACTTGGTGAGATCAGGTGACCCCATGTTTAGTTCTTAGGCCATTTGAACCTGTAAAAGAAGCTGCAGGGACAGCAGTGAGCCCTGGGGAAGCCCACTGAGCCCGGGGTAAGCCCAGTGAGCCCGGAGGAAGCCCAGTGAGCCCTGGGGAAGCCCAGTGAGCCCTGGGGAAGATAAATTGAGCCCGGGGGAAGCCCCCTCCTCAAAGCCACTAACCAGATATGTCAGTGCAGACCGCACCTCTGCCAGAGTAATTCCATTTCCCTGGGGGCCATCAATTGTCCATCATTTGTCTTGTGTTGTTAATTAAGTTGATTTTGGGGTTTTGGTTCTATTTTGTTATGTTTTCTTCTATGTTTTGGTTTATTGCTTCTTGTAATTTTTTAAGTTTATTTTTGGAGATGAAAACGGATGTTCATGTGAAAGCTGAGTTCCTTGTTTTTTCTTTTGCCCGTGGTCGCCTGCATGTTCTCTGTTGATGTCCTCCTCCTGGTTCTTGACACTGACCATCTTGTCTGTGAAAGGAGGCGCTCCAGCGGGCTTGCTTGATCAGAAGAAAGGGAAGTTTGCTTGGTTTAGTCACTCCACAGAAACCCATGGTAATGTCGCCCTGTGCTCTGTGTATACATATGTGTTGGTGCTCACCAAAGTGGACGGGAGGGTGTTGCTCTTGATGTTTATGATGCAATGGCTGTGTGTGTGTGTGTGTGTGCGCGCGCGTGCACACGCGCAGAGAGAGAGAGAGAGAGAGAGAGTGCCTGGCCATCTGTCCCACTCAAAGCCCCTGCCACTCTCTTGGCATGAGTCAAGTCAGCCACCATGGCAATCAGCAGCATTTGTTCCTTGGTAAAGCCCCTCCTTTGACAAGTGCCAGCCAAGATTGAGGTCACCATACCTGCCAACTTGATACCAATGCAGGGAGTGCCTGGCTTTGTATATCACACCGCCCCCGATGCCCAGGCCTGCTATCACGAGTGTCCTCACAGCCTGCACCAGCACTGCCACACCCACACACTAGCTCCAAGCACATGAGGGCTCTCTGGGAGCAAAGTATCAAAAAGTCAGATAGCCCTGGAGCATTAAAGGAACCTTAATCGGGGGCGGTTGGAGAAGTGGATGATAAGTCTGCAGGCGCTTCAGTTTTATGGATTTTTTTTTCAATGTACATTAAGCTTCAAGAAACCCTGGAACAGTCATCCCCAGTGTTCAAAATGCCCCTAAGTCTGGCCTCACTCACCAGCTCCTCAGACCTTAGGCTGTCAAGGGAGCATAGGCGCTATAAAATCAGACACCACTGTCGGGCTCTTCACCACTCCTTTGGTGTTCCCAGAATCTGATTCAGATTCAAAAACCTGTCTGGTTTTAGAGCCGAGAGAGGGGAAACGGCCAACCTGAGGGCATCAAAGTGAGTGTGACAGGGACATAGGTCGTCATGGCCCTGGAGCCACCCAGCCCACGGCAGGCACTCAGCCACCTATACCAGACCCCACCCATGAAGTGAAGGAGACAGGTTAGAGCTGACTCACATCTGAAGTCCCAGCCAGCCCCAGACACCTTTGATATGACATCTGGATTTCTTTTTCACCCAACTTTATTGAAAATAAGTCCTAAGTAGAGAGGTCTCTGCCACAGGAACATATGGTAAGTTGTCAACTTTCGCTTCGTACCTTCTGTTTTCTTGACATGAGTCTCTTCTCACATTCCACGTCCACCTCTGTTATCCACGTAGCCAGTACAAGTCTTTCCTGGGCTGTGGCCACCACCTGGGGACCTGTCACCTGGTTTGCCCATCCACTGATGCTCCCCCCGCAGGACTGCAGATTCTGCATCTGCTGGGGCATGCTGGACCCCGCTGCCAGCAAAGCTGCCCTGTTTTGCAAGGGGAGCTGAGCCGGGCTAGAGGGCACATGGCCATTCTCAACAACGAGGGTTGGCAAAAATAAGAAGCGTGTTGTGTCATATAAAAGGGTACCAGACGTGTAAAAGAAGGATTTTCTTGAGTTAAACTTTTATTTGGAATAAAGTAATTGAAAGCATGGCTGTTTCTCAGCCACCAAACTGGATGCCCAGCTAGGAAGCCCCCATGGCCATCAGGGGGCCGAGTCAGGAGCCGGGCCTGGCAGCTGGCTCTCGTGGGGATGGGATGTTTGGATCCCGAGTCAGCCGCTGAGCTGGATACATCCATTACCGGAAGCGGAAATGACACTCTTGGCAAGAAAGCTGAGGCCACATTTAAACTTAATCTGGAGGATGTCCCCATCCCTAATGTCTCAGCAGCAGTTTGAGTCTTAGGACCAGACTCTCACCCCAAGTCGTCCTCCGTTTCAGGTGTGGTCCTGGGCGTGACTGCATCAAGGCCAGCGTGGCCTATGGGGAAAGGGGCATCCTCCACATCCACCTACTGGTTGGCACAAATGCCAAAAAATGTCCTTCCTATAGAAACGATGGACCCTAAGTTTAGAGGCGGAGCCCTTTAGAATTGATGGATGGAAAGAAATAAGAGAAACAGAACATTTTCCTGAACGTTCCTCTTTGTATGGCAAGTGGTGGATGCAAGTCGAAAAGTTGATTCCATGTTTCCAAGGCCCCACAGCTGAGGGCAGAGAAACATTCAGCGTTTTCAGGGCGTCACCTGTAAGTTACACAGTCTTGCCCCCAGACCTCTTCCCATATTCCCACCAGCTGACAGTGTCCTGGGCAGCAAAGGTGACCCCAGACGAGAGCGGCCATGTCAGTCAGGGCCCCGCCAGGGCCTCAGCCTTGCCCAGCGGCTCCCTGCCCCAGCAGTGCTCCGCCTGGGGTGGGTATGATGCCAACTAGTACTTCTCCCCCTTCCCCTCCCCACTCAACGCCTTGCTCTGCACCCTTTGACTCTTGCAGTGAGCATGCCCACAAGTGAGACTGAGTCTGTCAACACCGAAAACGTGGCTGGCGGTGGCATCGAAGGAGAAAACTGCGGGGCCAGGCTGGCGTGAGTAGGCATGGCAAGCCCAGGGGTGGGGGCGCCAGGGGGCGCGAGGGAGGCTGCTTCCTGGAGGCAGAATGTGCAGACTGGCCCCTGGGAAGGCAGAGAGCAGAGCTGGCCGCCAGGCAGGAGCTGCGGCCTGGCTCAGAGGCCCGGCAGGGATGCAGCTTCCGTTGAACCTGCTCTTCAATTCAGCACTGGTGTCTGACTCGGATTCTGAACCCCTTTCCAGCACATCAGAGAAATCCAGGCGGGGGCGGGGGCGGGGGAGGTGGGGTACAGGGTGGGGGGGCTCCGACGTCTGTTTCTTCCCGGCCCCTCTCACCCCCTTTCACAAGAGGGAGTTGTGTTAGGGTCCCTGGGTCCTGCTAACTACCCTTTCCATTCTGCTTAATGTGACCTGGAAGGAGAGCAAACAGGTAAGAAAATATCCTGGGAGGTGATAATATGTCTGTCCTCACCTGCAGTGCTACGTTCTCCCGCGAGTGAAGGGAAACAGGTGCCAGAATGCCAACTCAAGTTAGAAATTCCCCTGTGGCTCGCCTCACGCCTAGCCCACCGCCCCCTCTACAGACCCAGCCTCTGTGCTCATGGCTTCCCTTTCCCAGGTCAAGCCCTAGCCCTGACTCTGGTCTGGAGCTAGACCAGCTGTCAGTAGGCCAGTATGGCAGGAACAATTCATATACAGTTACCACAAGGAGCCATTTAGTTCTTAAAAATGGAAATGTGTGTTGCCTGGAAATGTTCCCCTCAGAAGCCAAGGGCTGAACTGCTAAAAGTTAGCAAACTGCTGGCTTCATGACCGGTGTCCCAGAGAACAGAGGCCAAAGGTAAAGTCAGGTTCGAGCAGTGACCTTGAGAATGAGGCCTCCTAGCTCTGATCAAGGGTCCGCTTGGATGTAGCCACGGCTTTTCCTGTAGCTTTGGATGGTTGAGGTGTGTGCACTCAGCCTGGTCGCTGAAGGAGCTGCCAGCGGAAGGCTCTGGGTAGGACCAGCCCCAAGAAACATGAGGTTCTAGTCAGCCGCCTCTCAGCCCGCCTCTCACATGACTCGGTAGCCTGGGCACATCCCAGCCCTCTTAAGAAGGTCGGTTGTGGGTAGTTCTAAACACACGCCAGCTTTGAGAATGCCTCCGAGCAGAACACGGCTTAGGAACAGCCCAGCTTGGGTGACTTCTATTTCCAGGGTCCGCAGGGCCTTCGGTATCACTCACTCTGACAGCGGCACCAGGGAGTCTGCTCTGAAGCTCTCTCAGCCTCATCGGGAAGCAATTATTGTCAAAATGTTGTTAAAATACGGAGCTAATTACATTTTTAAGTTGCAGTCCAAGCTTTTCCCTCTTCTCTTCTTTTGGAACCACACAAAACAAGCACTCAAGTTTCTAGAAGTGGGCCCCAGACAGCCACACGAGGAAGAGACAGACAAAGCTTTTATGTCAGTTCTAGGCTGTTCCCTTGCTTTGACACCAAGAGGACAGTGGGCGAGGAGATGATGGAGGATATTGCAGCCCTGGCTTCTGGCCTTGGCCCAAGTTACAGATCAAGAGGAACCAGGGATCTGGCACCAGGAAGCCACTGGAAAGTAGCTGCCAGAGCACATGGAGGCTGCTGGAAGGAGAATACGAGCATTCCCCACCGAGGGGGCTGGCCTCTCCATGCCTGTCATGTCTTTGCGCCTAGAGCAGTAGCCCCCAAGAGCATCCTTACTGAAACACCTGTTCTGAATATAAAATACCCAGTCGTTGTCCGTCATATGCCACGGACTTTAAAAGTGATGGTCTTCGCCATCCCCCTACTCACCTCCCTCACCCCCTCCCGGCCTTAGACAGTGATGATCTGAGAGAAACAGCCAGTGACAGGCCAGGGCTGAAATGCATGTGATGTAGGGGAGACAGTGAGAAGTGAGCATTTTTAAAACAAAGAGTTCAAAGCCTTTTTACTGTAGCTGAAGTCAGAATGAGTACTAACATCAAGGCGAAGACCTGCATGAATATGTCTCTTGAGGTCAGGGGCAGAGGGAAAGGAGCTAGGGAGGGAGCAGAAGTTTGAAGACAGAAAATGTTAAGGATCATGAAATAAACACCGTCACTGGGTCTTTCTGATCGCTCCCAGACTAAGGGCAGTCTTAACTCTAGCTCTCAGCGTGGCCCCACAGCCAAGTGATTGTTGTCCTCAACCCAAGGCAGACTCCACTCCCAGCTGGAGGGACTTGGAGGTCTCACAGAGACAGCAAGACATGGCGCTCCACAGATGCAGGGGTGTGGGGGGGGGTGATGAGGCTCAGATCTGAACAGGCACGGAGCCACACATCAAAGGTGTCTGTGGGAATACCACTGACGAGGTTAGAGGACAAGGGCTGTTCCTGGAAGGATGGAAGCCCAAGGACAGGACCTCAGGAACTGACCTTCAGAAGGATAAGAACAAGTAATGAAAGAAGGAGGTGTCAGAGAACAGACAGCACTGCTGGTTTGGAAGCCGAGAAAGAAGTAATTTCAAGACAGAGCTGTTTGGACATTTATTCAGTCACACTCGCAGCTTGGTGCCAGATGATAGCTGAGAAGTAAACTGGCATCATCTCAGTGGAGCTTCCAACCTGGTGTGAACATGAGATCAAATAAGTAATAAGTAAATAAGTCGTTATAAATCGGGCTAAGTGTTAGGAAGGGAAAGTAACGATAAGGTCAGGTTAGCAACAGAGGGAGTAACTGATTTAGACTGGTAGGTTAGCAAAAGCTACTCGAAGAATTAAAATTTAAGCTGAGATGTGGAGTGAACATAGAGTATTGAGGTGAAGAGTAAGGATAAATGTTCTAGTTAGAGGAACTGAGGAAAGCCCGTTGGCCAGGGCAGTGGGTGAAGAGGGCTGCTAGAATCCTTCACACTCTTGGTTTTCGCCACACTCAGGACTGTGAGAGGCCTTGAGTGATCATAGCAACAGGGAGCTGGGCAGGTGGGTTGGTTTGGTTAGTTTTGCATTCTTGAAGGCTGACTTTGATGTTCAAAAAAGAATGGGTCAGAGTGAGGTCAGTGGGGGGCAGACAGACAGGTGGCACCATCACCCAGGCTGGAGACAGGTGGCTCAGACTGGAGTCACACATGGAGACGGAAGGACGGGGGGCTGTTGAGTGTCCTGGAGCTGGGCCCTGCAGGATGTCAGGGTGCGCTGAGGGTGGGAGTAGGGTCTCTGTGAAGGGGACAGTGTGGAAAGAGCCCACAGAGAGCCGTCCCCCCAGACGCAGAGCCTTGGGAAGGAGAGGGCACCAGAGGCTAGAAGAAAACACCTGGCACCAGTGGCCAAGGGAGGCCTGGTGTTTCATCATAGTCTAGACTGGACATTCTTGACGGCAGAGCAGAAGTCAGTGATAAGGAGGGACCCGAAGGAACTGGAACAGAAGTGAGTGTCTGTTGGAAGAAATTATAAGAGAGGGTGGTTGGCTTCAGAGATGGTGTGAGACGCTGCATTTCTGCTTCCCCTCTGGGCTGGAAGAGACCTGACATCAGAAGGCCTAGACACTAGTCTCAGTCAGCCCCCTACTGGCTGGAGACCTCAAACAAACACCTCTGTCCTGAGTCTCAGTCTCAGCCCCTGGGATGTGAAGGGTTCGGCCCCACGGTTGGGAAGGCCCTAAAGCCACACTGAGACCACTGCAGCAGATCACCTTCACCTCTTTTACCTATTGGGCTTCCAAGGAAAAGTCCCTAAGGATAAAGCCTCCTACAGCTTGACAAGTTACAATCCAGAGATCCTGGTAGAATCTCGGGGATCCTCCTAACCCTCCAGGCCTAGCGTTCTATAAAGAACAGAAGCAGGCTCTGATGAAGTCTGTGTCAGGAGTGACACTGGGTCTTTCTCGTCACACAACATGGGTATTTGGTGTTCTATAACTGAAGGACACTAGAGGCGATGCAGGCCAGTGAGTCACGGGGGGTGGGGGGGGGTCACGGATAGCTGAAGCCACAGTGGAGACTGACGTCATGTATGTGGAGTCAGACTCGCAACAGCTCAACCTCATGTTTGGCAGGAAGAGCTAAAAACAGATACTGGTATGAACTAGGATGGGGATTAAGTCAAATATACACAGCAGAGGCCCAGACAGTGTAGGAGTCTGCCTTGGGTTGAAGACAACACTCTCTTGGCCATGGAGAACTACAAGTTAAGCCTGGTGTCCGCCTGGGAGTTCTGGACTCATGTGCGTGTCAGAAAGACACAGTGACAGCAAAAATTGGGTTCAGTGGAAGAGCAGAAAGGGTAACAGCAAAGGAGACTCCGGCAGAGATGAGGAGCAGCTAAGTCAACACCCAAAGTTGAAGCCCAGCTCTGAGAGGACAGGTGCAGGGTTTGACCCCTGAGGCTGGCAACTGTGGCTGGTGTGTAGCTGTGGAGTCAAGGAATCGAGTCAGATGATGGTGACATGGCTGGTGGCCACAGTGCCATAGGGTAGATGCTAAAGGCAGCTGGAGCCAGTTCAGGGAAACACTGTTTCACAGCCAGAAGTAAACATGGCGTTCTTGACTCTAAGGAGAGAGGCTGGAACTATAAATAACTCCCAAGAAGTTCAAGACTTGTCAAATACTGACAAAGGCAAATTGAGCAAGTAAAACAAAGAGAGTTTTGAGTTTGACTCTATTTTGAATTTTAATTTTGAATGCAGGGGGTGAGGGCCAGGGTTTCCTAGAAAGTTTACCTTGGAGATTTGGACAGAGAATGTCTTGGGTTGAATGAACTTCAGCTCCAAAAGGAATCTGTTCTGATGGTCTCATGTGTTAGATTCTTTCTTTAATGCCCTGCCCTTTCAAAAACCCACTTAAAACGTAAGATAAGGCCTTAAGAATAGAGTAGAGTAGAATGGAACAGAACGGAATAGAATAGCATAGCATGAAGATACTAGAAAAATAACTACAGAAATAGTAAATTCCACCTCTAGAATAACAATGATGAGAAAAGCCAAGAAGCTTTGAGCAAGCTGTGCATGTCCCATGTGGATGGAGAAGTTGGAGGCCTCTCCTGTTCTGAGAACTCTCTTTAACCTGAAATGATTTATGAGTGGAATTTACTATTTCTGTAATTATTATTCTAGTGTCTTCCAGGCTATTCTATTCTATTCTGTTCTGTTCTGTTCTTTTCTACTCTACTCTACTGTATTCTTAAGCCCTTATGTTTTAAGTGGATTCTTGAAGAGCAGGACATTAAAGGAAGAATCAAACACATGAGACCATCATTACAGTGGGAGTCAGTGAGAGGAAGGGTTCATCATATGTGGGACAGCCCAGGACCCCCACCTGCCCCCAGCTCCAGCTCTCGTCAGTGGGCTAACCAGCTTCCCAAACCCAGAGCTGGTGTTTACCTCCCTGGCTGAAGAATAGCGAGGCCCCCCTGTTTTCATGAAATGGGGTCCTGGGGAGTCCCACCTATGCATGGGAACACAGAGGAATCCTGGCATCGAGACTTTACAGAGTCCTGAACCCAGCTCTTCTAAAGGCTGGCTTTTTCTTTGTCTCTAAACACATGCCACTTGAACAATACCCTCTCCCTCGTAAGCAGGGGAGCTTAGGTTATGTGATGCTTAGGAAGTCGTGTTTCAGCCCCAATAAGCCTGAAGTGCTCACCATTCCCTGAGAACAGCAGCAACAGCAAAGATCAGTCTTCAAGTGTCCAAGGTTGTAGCCTCAGGATGTGTAACTAAGTAGAAAATAAAGTCTCGCCCCATTTCCTCCCCTTCATAATGTGCCAGAATGCCAAGGGAGACCCCTCAGTCAATGACTGAGCTAGAACCAGGACCTCATTGGAAACAGCCCTGGCCCTCCCCTGTGCCCACATCCCAGAGTCATTTCCTTGGGAGCTATAAAAACACTCTGACTCCAGTTCTCGCATTGGAGACACACTGGGGCTGAGAGAGCCTTCTGGAAGGGCATGTGGTCTGCACTGCAGTGCACCCCGGAGAGGATCACTGAGATATTTCTGAGAGACCTGGGGCCGCGCCAGGCTCTGTAGACAGAGTCACAGGGCTAAAAGTCATGCTCTTCACTTTAGCTTGTTTACCAGCAGGACAGTTAATGGCCCAACAGGAAGTCTGGGGAGACCCTGAAGGTCCCACGCTCGGCACAGCTAGGCTGGAGAAGAGAGCACCCCGGATTCCCCACCACCCAATTAGCAGCTGGAAAACATTTGTTTCCCCCATTAAACTGTGGCTCTAAATAAAAATGCTGCCCTTGGCTCCCGGTCCCCCTCCCACATGCTTTGTTAACATGTGATTAAAGCCTCCAGCCCTAGCAGGCCGTCTTCGGGGGTGGGGAAAGGTTATTAGCTAACTGTTCAGAGCAGTAAAGGCACTTGGCTCAGATTCCCAGTGCCCCAGAGATATAATTATCTCATGCACGATGGCTTTGCCACCTGTCACATCTTCTGGTTTAATTTTTTTTAATAAAAAATAACGAGAGGGTTGTTTACTTGCTGTGTGACGGCGCGCCTCTGCAGAGCTGGGACACCATGGGCTCACGGCGGTCGTCTCCCCACTTACCCACTCCTGTTTGCACTCTGCGTGGCTCTTTGTCTTTCCACCGCTGTCTGCATCCTTCTTCGGTGCCAGCTTGAGTCTGCGTCTTCACCTGGTGCGTGCAGGCGCTGCCGCTCTGCCTGCTCTCGCCGGCGTTCTGTCCCCCAACACCCCAGCCTCTTCTGACCAGTCGAGTCCACGTTTCCGTCTCCAGGGCTTGCACTCTCCATCCCTGCTCCCCTCCTTTGCCAAGGCTGCCTTCTGCAGGCTGCCCTGCGCTCCCGTGGGAACTATGAGTCTCCTTGAAGCTTCCGCCTTCCTTCCGAGCCCACCCACTCCACCCCATGACCCTCGGGTCAGCCGTCAGTCCCTTCCCTCTGCTGCAGCCTCCAAGTGCCCCCTCCAGGTTCCAGGGATGACGTGGCAGCCTGGGCTTTTCCCAGGTCGTGGCCCTCAGGCCTGGGATGGCAGTGGCCCACCGCTGTTTCCAGGGGGGTCTCATGCTTGCCTGCACTTCCCACCCCAGGGCTGGTGGGGTGCTGTTGAGACAGCAGTGGGGTCCCAGCTGACATGTTCCTGCCCTGCTTTCTGGCGGCTAAGCCTCTGTGTCTTCAGGAGAGGCCTGCCTTGCCCCTGTGTCCCTCCCGGAGGGGCAGCAGCCCTGACCCGCCCCTCACCTGACCTCGATGAGCCTGCGGGACAGACACGGGTCTTCCCAGAACACAGTGCCGAAGAATCTAGATTCACAGATGCGTCCGCTGGACCGGCCCCGTCTCCGTATTGTATCCACAAGTCTGCCAAGAGCGGCTGAGCAGTGGGGCCCTCTCTCTCCCGGGGCGTTCTGATTCCCACGCCCAGTCACCCCAAACCTCGCAGGGTTGCTAGCATCACTGAAACGATAGAAAGTGTGTGTGATATTTAGTGACCTTTGCTCTTCTTTCTCTTTCAGCCACCGGATCTCCAAATCCAAGTTCAGGTGCGTCAGGCTGCTCTTCTCTCTAGCTGTTCACCCCGCTGTACCCCACTGTCTTTGGGTAGACTGAGGTGGCAGAGCCGTGGTGTTGGGGGGACCTTCTGTGAGGGTGACTTGGGCCCCAGTCAAGAAGAGGCTTAGGGATGTGTCGATTCAGAGCTGGTATCTGTGGAGTTTCCTCCTCTTTGGCAGGTGTGTCCCTAGGAGATTCTTTTATGGAGTAAAATATGCCTCCCCACGCCCCCCTCTCCATAAGGTGAAAGCCTGTTAAAACAATCCATCTTTGGAATCCAGTGTGTCAAGGACTCGGTAGCCACATGCCAGCAGATGTCAAGATTCTGCAGCCCACCAGTGGTGGTTTCTGTTTAGGACTATTAAAGGTGGGCAGGGAGTTGAAATGATATGAAAATGATCAAGGTAGGCGTGGGACAGTTTCTGTCTGTTGCCAAGGTCTCCACTACAGATGCAAGGAAAACATGCCCTCTGTTTTCCAACTGTCTGTAGCACAAGATTGAATAGCAGAAAAACATGGTAATACGGGCAGGCCCAGGGAGGGGGCTTGGGGGGATGGCAAGAGAGAGAAAATATCTGCACCTCGAAAATAACCATGTAAACAGTGCAGACACTGTTTTATTCCATAAAAGAATCTAAATCTTGAATTAAAAAAAATCAAGATATTCCTAATCACGTCCTCAGTTTAATAATGTCAGGTAATAGAGCTTCAGCCTGGCCTGTTTAACTTGGAAATCTGAATAATACAAGAACTGTTGGAACAGATTGGGGGGGGGGGGTTGGAATTCAGCAAGTCCCTGGACTTAAAATACTAGGGCAATACTAGAGTATTCTCTTGGGTAGCCAAGTGTTCACTCTGAGGAATTAGCTACAATAAGGAATTTTGGAACATTTGGTGTTAGCTGTTCAGAATAGGATTTAAACAGTTATGGAACAAATGACTCAGAAGCCTTTTGCTACTTGAAGGAATTGATTAAATAACCTGTTGGCGCTCCCAATCTCCATTTACGGAGTCCTCAAGCTGAGGAGACCGTCTCGCCCAGTCTGCTGTGAAATCGTCTCCACTGTCCCGTTAGTCCTGCCATGTCATAGGCCACAGGTCGCAGATCCAACCTCGCTCCCATCCCTAGTAGCTCACTTTAAAGTTCCTATAATGATCGTGTGTCCTTTGTCCTATATTTTCTTAAAAGATAGAAACCGAGCCCTCCCTGATGGTGCAATGGGTAAGGACGCACGCAGCATTGTAAGCTGGCTGCAGCCGCTTCAGTGCGAGTTCGATACCCGGCCCCAGAGGTGACCCACATGGCGCAGCAGACCTCTCCTGTCTCTCCCACTGCTCCCCTCAGCAGTGTACTTTGTTGATCTGCCTGTTCTGCTCCCCACTCTGTCTCTGGTGAAGCCTCTCACCATCCTGCACCTCAGGCTTGTACCCCATTTCTGTATGCATAAATAAACCTTTAAAAGAAAACAAAGGATAGCAAGCCCCTAGACAGAGCCTGAAGCGTCCACCATGTTGACGTTGCCTTTGATTCCCAGCCCCTGGCGAAACTGTGTGCTGAGCAAGCTGCTGTAGGTGCAGTAGCCCCTTCTCTTGCCCATCCTCCTGGGTCAGGAGATCTGGGGCTCATAAGCCTTGTCTTCAGTAGGGAGTTGGTAAATCTCTGTAGGGTTCTGTGCCAAACTGCCGGCCACATGTTCTTACTCTGTAGATGGCCACACCAGGTGAAACAAGGTCCCTTTCCACAAGGACCTGTGATCTCACGGAGAGGCAAGGGCCGTCTAATCAGACAGCTGGCAAGGCACGGGAAGCCCTCTCCTCTGAAGAACCTTTGCTGGCCCTTCCATGTTGACCCAGATGCCCTTGGAAGTGGCCCAGACTTCTCTGCCAAGGACACTGGCCGATTACTCACTGGGGACTGGGCATCACCCACATGGGTTTTGGCTGACAGAGCCTGCAGCTGTCATGCGTACTGTTGATTACCTAGAACCTAGCCCATGAGAAGTGTTTAACAAATACGAGTAATACAGACATTATGGAGGAGAGGAACTCTGAGGCTGGGAAGTTCATCCTGAAGAAGCTGGGTCTGAAGCTGAGCCTTAAAGAATGGGCAGGACCCAGCAGGTAGAGATGGTGGTAGTTGTCGGAGGTGGAGGAGGAGGGGGGGCGGGATGCATTCTCTCCGTGGAAAGCCAAGAACAGGGCCCTGGATTGAGAAAGTTTAGACGGAGGTGGGGAGCAGACATTCCCCATGGGTAGGCGACACTATAGAAGTTTGGAGAAGTGGATTAAACACCTTCATCTGTGTCCTGCTCTCCTATGTCTGTGCATGGGAAGACCTGAGGCCTGTTTCTAGAGCAAGCGACTTTTCCAGTCAGTGTGAAAGGAGCATGCATAGCAGGCAGATTTCTCCTCCCTATTTTATCATTTAATTTCTATATCCTCCATGCAGATGTAAACACACAAATAAATTTACACATTCTAATAAACCATTACATTTATTATACAGTAGAAAGCGTTGCCAGGAAACCAGTTGTCAAGCAAAGCTATATTTTGAAGAGTGGGAGGTGTATAATTATCTTTAAATACTTTCTCTGGATAGTAATTACCCCCACCCCCACCCAGCCCAAATCCATGTGACTCTCCTGACTGACTGCGGGGAACGGCGTGATCGAAGGGTCCCGTCCTGGCAGGCTGGTGGGTCCCAACCCATGGCACAGGGCTGCTGTGTGGCTTCCCCAGCCACGACCCCTACACGGCGGGGAAAGAAGATTCCCATCGAGTTCTCAGCCTTCAGCCGGCAGTCAGCTGACCCCAGTCAGTTCCATGTGCTGTGTTTTGGACTCTGAATAGCAATTATCAGTGATTTCTGAAACATGAGATGTTATCTATTTTAAACATAGGCTTTGCAACTACAATGTAAGCTATTTAAGATCAGATACAAGTTTGTCCTGAAATTTCATTTCTCAGGAAAAAAAAAATGCCTTCCCAATTCACTCACCAGCATTTCAAACCACCAATAACAGGAAAGATGTTGTCCTGACAAGATAAGACTCCTCAGCGCAAGATCTGGCAATTTCCAGAGGTCAGCTCTCACCCAGGACCACCCGAGCCCCCTGCCCATCCTTTCTCCCTCCTCGCCTCCTACCTGATCTCACTCTTGCCCAGAATGGAGTGTCTGAGGATGGAAGCGCCCCAAGGTGCATTTCAAAACCAAGAGTTTCTGAGCCTGCAGCATTTCCTCTCTGCCAGGGAATCCCCCAGGTAGCAGGCGAGTGTCCCCTACAAAGCTTTCATGCCCCCGAGAGAGGGGCATTCAAGCCCCCCCGTGACGGAGGGGTCAGAGCAGACACTCCTTCCTTCTCCCCTTGTTCTGCAAGCCAAACCCCAGGTTCTTCCTGCAGTTCTGTGGAAGCAACACCCTTCTTAGACCCCTCACTTTTCTGACCTCATTTTAACATTAGACTTTAAGATGGTAACCAAGGTTTGACAGCAGGACTTTCTGCGGGTGGTAGGTAGAAAACGAACAGAGTTAGAAATACAGCTGAAGGGGACTGTTGGGGCTGGGTGGGGACAGGGGGGCATAAGAGGGAGGGTCCCATCCCTGGAAACCGAGAACAAGATATTACTGTCTTCCTCCTCCTGCCTCTATGGGTTTCTCTCTGTGCCTGACCTACCAGCCCCTCAAATGCCCTTCTCCTCACAGTGACCTCCCTCCCTGCCCAGGGCCCTGCTCTCGCTTGTGCCTATGTAAAGAGGGGTCACCCTGCCCAGTCACCCCAGTTGGACACTGGCCATCCCTCCTACTCCCTTGCCCCTCGCCCTCACAATTTCAGAGTCCCGTCGGTGATAAAACCGTGGCCTGTTCCTCTCCAACCTGCATGGCCAAGAGCACCTTCCTCCTCCCACCCCTGACAGAGGTGTTTCAGTGGGGTTTGGTTTTCTAGCATCAGATCCCATCAGGTCGTTCTCCCTCTCCAAGCCTTTCCCAGGCCCTGCAAACCCCCTCCCCAGACTCCTCTCCAGCCCCCGCCCCCCAATACTTCCCTCCTTTGCTCAAAATAGACATTTGTTAGATGTTTGCTCAAGTGCGTTCCCAAAAATAGCCGTATGTTTTCTCTGTATCGAGAGAATGAAATCTGGGGAACCATGCAATCATAAGATGTTTCATTGGGTCACCTGGCTTAATGGTTCTCAGCCATGTTACACATTAGAACCACCCAGCAACTTTAAGATTCCAGTGACATTTCAGGGGGCCTTGGTAAATACCCAGTCCCCAGAGAATCAGGTGTAATTGGTTCAGGGACCTGGGTACTGGTAGAGGGGGAGGGAAGGGGTTGACTACTTGTTTAAGCTTCCCAGGTAATTCTGTGGCCAATCAGGTTTAGGGCCACTGAAAAGCCTCCTCGCATGAGCCCATGGGGGCATTGCTGGGACCTTGGCTGAGGCTCCAGGGCCATGTGGTATATGAACATGTGTGTGGTGCTTTGTATGTGCTTTTTTATCTGAACGGGGATCTCAACATTTGTCATTTTCTAATATGATTCTATTACCCCCTAAAAACACAGCGCCTCTGACCCAGACTCACCCCTCACACTTCACGCCTGAGGCAGTGTCCAGCAGGGGAGTCACAGCTCTGTCCCTGGGTGACCTTGGCCAGGGCGCTCAACCTCCACCACCTTCCCCCTTCTCCACCTCAAAATCGGGGTGATAGCTGCTGTACAGGACTGTTTAAAGAATTAGGGGGAAGGAGCCTAGTAGCGTCTAGGCCGGGTCGTTCAAGGTGACCTTCACTCCCAGTCCCAGCACTGCCACCGCTGCTGATAATACTCTCAATACCCCCAGTACTATTTCTAATAATGGCGTTATCGCTAAAAATTACTTACTAAGCACCTGCAGCTCGCTGCCAATGGCACATCGCCCTGCGGGACCTGCCTGCCGCTGAGAGAACCCCAGGAGTGGACAATGGGGGGTGTGCCCCCCACACAACTAAGCGGTCAGGCACAGCTAACACTACGGAAAGCTCATCCCCTCCCCACTGGGGCCGCCGCGCTCTCGGGCCACATCAGCAGGGTGAAGGAAGCCTCGCTGGTGTTTCCTGACTCTCACGCCGCCTCCCGCACACTCCGCAGCCGCTATTGGCGCCGGTGGAATCGCTTCTGCAGGAGGAAGTGTCGGGCCGCGGTCAAGTCCAATGTCTTCTACTGGCTGGTGATCTTCCTGGTGTTCCTCAACACGCTCACCATCGCCTCGGAGCATTACAACCAGCCCCACTGGCTCACAGAAGTTCAAGGTGAGAGGCAGCGCCAGGCGCTGGCCAGGTTTACCCCTGCTCAGCCCTGACCCCCAGGGAGGGACCCGCCCCCCGGCAGAAGGTGGGTGGGGGACGCGGCCGGTGGCGGTGGCTCTCGGCGGCGCCAGGGGCCGCGGCAGCTCTCAAGCGCCCAGTAAACTGTGCAGCCTTGCGGTAAACAGGCGGGCTCCCTGGGCCGCCCCACACTGCCTGACAGTCACTGCGGGGTCTCGGGGCAAGGACCTGGGTCCAGCTTGTTTGGCTCTCCCTGGCCCTGGGCTGCCAGCTTTTCAGTACTTCAGGCCTGGGCCCGGCTTCAAGGTGGGATTGCAGCAGCATGAGGAATCCCAGTAGGAGCCTGGGCACAAAGGATACGCCATGATGCTTAGTTCGCAGGCACCCCAGCCCCCTGGAAGAGGATCTCATGAGACAGGGAGTCAGGCACACGGGCCCCGATCCAGAGCAGCTTTCCAGAACACCAGGCAGCAGCCCATCTCCAGGCAAAGAGGGCAGGCTCGGGCAGTCTTTGCTTGCTTGGCTTGGGCGAGATTACTCACCTCTCAGTTCCTCCCGGTGGTGCAGCCAATTAAAGCGCAGCCCTGTGAAGCCGTCCGCAGCCACGCAGACGAGGTTCCCATCCAGGGAGTGACCCCCATGGTGCAGCAGCCCTCTCCTGACCCGCCCGCCACTCCCCTCAGCAGTGGGTTTCAGTCCATCCGCCTCTTCTGTTCCCCTCTCTGTCTCTGGTGAAGCCTCTGACCCCCTGCACCTCTGACCTGTACCCCAGTTCTGTATGCCTAAATAAATAAATCTTTTTTCCAAAATGGCTCACCTTCTCGTCGCTGAGAAATGGGCACAGTGGCAATAGTGCCCACCTCTCAGCTGCGAGGAGGGTGCCGGCCACAGACATCCGCTGTGACTCTAGCCAGAAGCCCCTTCCCGGGAGTGGCCCCAGTCGGTCTGCTCCGGAGACCGTGAACAGGAGAGGTGCTGTGACCGGGAACGAAGGGGCGTGGCACGTGGGGGGGCTTACGGTCTGTTCTCTCCCCCTTCCTCCCCGCGCACACACACCCTGCCTGGACCCCGCTGCTCCCGGAACCTGCAGACACGGCCAACAAGGCGCTGCTGGCCCTTTTCACTGCGGAGATGCTGCTGAAGATGTACAGCCTAGGACTGCAGGCCTACTTTGTGTCCCTGTTCAACCGCTTCGACTGCTTCATCGTGTGCGGGGGCATCCTGGAGACCATCCTGGTGGAGACCAAGATCATGTCCCCCTTGGGCATCTCTGTGTTGAGATGTGTCCGGCTCCTGAGGATATTTAAGATCACCAGGTATGTGGCTCCTTGTTTCCAGAAGGCAGGAGAGGAGGGAGGCATGAATGGGAGAGAAGTAGCTGTTTCTGGAAGCTTCTATATTTTGTTGATCTACCACAGCAGGCGCTTTTGTCCAGTTCGATGGCATAGCGTTCGGAAATTCCTTTGGTGGTCAACACCAGAGGCTCGAGCTAGCGGGGTAAGCAGATCAGGGATGTCCTGTTGTGTAAAAAAAAAAAAATGTCCAGAGGCGGGGAGCCCAGGAGGCTACAAGAATAGAGCAGGGACCAGGCCTCCTTCTGTCTCGGCTTCGCCAGCCTCAGGCCGCCAGGTGGCTTCTGGCAATTGAGCACCGAGTTTGTCAAGGCGGGAAGAGGGACAAAAGGCAAAGGTGCATCCTTCCACAGAGTTAGCCCCTCCCAAGCCCCCCCAAAATCCAGCCAAAGACCCAGTCCCCTGGCTATCCCAGTAGTCTGGGCACTGAGGAGTGTCTCTTGAAGCTGAATGTGTGCCCCTCGCTCAGGCTTCCCCAGTACGGGAGGGTGATGGGTGCCGTGCCACAGGGGCGTTCACCCCTCCACACCTTGCCCCTCCACCTGCCCCATCCACCCGTCCAAAGATGAGTAGGACGGGGGTGGAGGGGGCCTCGGGGGTTGGGGAGTGGGCAGCATGCTCCAGGACAGTTATTTGCAACTGTCTTGTGATCTGTCTTGGGTGTTGAAATCTATCATTTTTCAGTAGTTTGAGCTATAATTCACATGCACGAAAAGATTCATTTTTAAGTGTACTCATTTTTTCAGTGTTTTTATAGGTCACAGAGTTTAGCAACCATCATCACACTCTCATTTTGGAACATTTTCATGGCCCCTAAAGGAACTCCTATCTCCTGCCTTCCCTCCCAATGACAACCTTCCATTTCTCTAGATTTGCCAATTTTGGATGATTCAGATCAGTGAAATCATGTAGTATGTGGTGACTTGTGACTGGCTTCTTTTACTTAGTTTTTCGCCCAGGTTTCAATCTAATAGCATCACTTCTTTCCTTTTCGTGGATGCATAATATTCCTTCTATATGCATGTATATAGACTTGACTTGATTTATGCATTCATCAGTTGGTGGCATTTGGTGTATTTCCATCTTTTGGCTATTATGAATAATGCTGCTATTTACAATTTTGTTCATGTTTCTATATACATATATGCTTTCGTTTATCTTGGATAAATCAAATGCGGCACACATGCGTTCTCGTCACGGTGTAGAGGGTCAAGCAAGGAGATGCATTTAAAGCACCCAGCCAGATCTCACCCAACAGCCAGAGCAGGGATTATTAATCTAATGGTTACGTCGTTGATATAAAGAGAAGGGAAAAGAAGAAGAGAGCCAACAGTGTCTGCACATACATGCTCTCTTCCTCATGTGTACTATGCACCGGTCTCTGAGAGATGGGGAAGATGGCTGCTGTGATCTGAGTCCAGGAGAAACTGAGTCTGGCTAGGGAGCTAGACTTTTTGCTTTTGAAACATCTAAAGGTCAGTCTAAAACACAATAGAATGAGCTGGCAAAATGATAGGGGCAGGAATGTGGGGAACACCTGCTAGGGTGGAATTAAGAACAGAAGAGAACCCCTGGGGAGAATCTGCTGTCAGAGGAGCCTTGAAGAACATACAGAATTTAAATCCACAAGCTTAAGAAGCCTAAGCAACACTTCCTTTCCAAAGCGCACACACACACACACACACACACACTTACACCAAGAGCTCTTCTGGAATGTCCTGAATAGCTTGCGTTACAGAAAATCCTGGGTTTATAATAAAAGTAGAAGTCTTAGTAATAATCTTCACTCACATGCAGTGATGGTTGCTCTGCTCTGTGGATATTGATGTGCTTTCACTTGATTCATCTTCACAGCTACCTGTAAGAAAGGGCGAGTATGGGGTACTGTTACCATGATTCCCAATCATTACCCCATTTTGCTGATGAGAAACTGTGACTTGGGGAGTTAACTTGCACAGCTGCTCAGGAGTGAAGCTAGGATTTAAAAACAAACCTGTCTGGCTTAGGTTCTGTGCTCCTAACCACGACCTTGAGCTGCAGGGTTGACAGTCAAGCTATTCTATTGTCTTTGCTCCAGAGTCAAGACGTCAAAGATTTTTTTACATACTGATTTTTGTTGTGAGGTAATTCCAAATCTTTGCTCCTCCTAGAGTCTGGTAAATGCCATTTTCAACTTGGAGTTTTCAGTGCCTCTTAAATAATTCTCAAAAGTCCATGTATTTAGGGGTTTAGGGACTTTTGGTTTTTTAGATTCCTACAGAGAAGAGTTCTTGCTCCTAGATATTGCGATAGCATCATGAAAAGATTAAGCATATATTCTCTTTTTAATCAACAATTTATCTATTTCTAATGTCAAACGATTGCCAAAACGCCATCCCTTTAATCCATCCTTATCTGAGCGCTTTCTGTAGCTTCTCCATGAGTGGCATTTTCAAATCTCTATAAAGGCTATAAACAGAATAATTTCATTAGCTAATTGGAAGTTAATTTGCCAAAAGCCATCATCTTTCTGTTTTCAAGTCTCCAAGCCCTCTTGGGGCTTGTGGAAAACAACAAAGAAACTGTATGGGCGCCCCCCGTTCCCACTGAGCCCGGGCTCAGCACACGCTGGTGGCCAAGGAAATGCCTAGAATAGGGGCTGCCAGTGGAGGAGTCATCTGGGCAGGGTCCTGCCATTAAGCAGGTTTGTATCCTTTCCGAAGCTCTTGGAACATACTTGACAGGGTCTCACTAGCACATGTATATTGAAGAAACACTACTACATAGTATTCTCAACAGCGACTATGATTCTCAGACTTCGTTGAACTCACCCAAGCAGCACCATCAGGATCCCCACCTCTGGGCACTTGGACAGGAGTTCCAGTGGTGCCCTGCTGGTGCCCTGGCCACTTCCCTTTGAGAAGCAGCTGTCTAATTCCAGTGCCCTTGGACCATTTTGCTCTGCCAAAATACGGACCTTTCTGTCTAATTGGAAATCTCGACTCTTAATCTCCACTCTCTCCCCTGGACAGTGGCCTCCTGCCAAGCTCACATGTGCTTGACCGAGAAAACATAATGACAAAGAATTACTATGAATTCGGGACAGCTTCTAAATTAACTTGAACTTGAATTCCTGCAAGGCTGTGTAAAAAAGCAGTGATGTAAATACAAGACGGGCTATTAATTTGGAGTGTTGCAGTGCTTTCGGGGGTTCCTTTCTTTGCATTCCAAGTGGCTCTTCCCTCACCATAGACCACTCTGTGGTCGAAGAGTTGTGAATACTGATCTGAACCAACAGCTATCAAGTTGGATGCCCTGACCCATCAGTGCCGGAGCAGTTGAACAGTGTGTAGCAAGTGTACGGTGACGAGACTGGAATCTAGGCATGCCTTCCTTCTTAGAAGATCAATACAAATAAGTCCAATATTGCGCTTACGACGCATCACTCTTGGTCACGTGCATTCCCAAATGCTTTTATGAATGGACAAGAACCAGGTGAACCGCCAACTCATTCATGTGCCCAAAAGAAGCAGAAGCCCTAGCATATGATGAATAAGATTGTGGTGATGTGATGAAAGTGAATTGTTGACAGGCTGGCATCTTTTGTTTTGTCATCATCTGAGAATGCTTTGGAGAGTGTACTATGTATATGAGTATCATCTATCCTATATGTCAAATTAGAAAAAAAAAGTCTTGGAACCCTGCATTAAAGTACAAACCAGTTGGTGACTGAGTGTTCATAGTCCCAGTAGTGGGAATTAGAGTAAGAGTCCTACCTCGTGAGAAAAAGGGGCACGCACATGCCCAAGTTGTTTCCATCTTTGGGCCACTCACCCGGGTGGGCCTTCCAGCCACGCAATGGGCCGGCTTTTTTCCTGTTTTGAGATTTCATGGGCCTCTACATGTTGCTGAGTTTCAGTATCTCTGTTGCGTAGTCTTTGTCAGCCCAGGGTGACATCATTCTATGGGGGAGGAAGCAGAGCTTCAATTAGATTAAATCCGGATGTGAGTCCAATTTACTAATTACATCTCATTTTTTATACAGTTGGTTTTAAAATGCACCAGAATCCCTCCAGCCCTTACTATCTTGGCACTTAAACCTTCAATTCCTTTCTCTCTCCCGCTTCTCCCTGCAGCTTCCTTCCCAGGTTCTGAAATGTGAGATAGGCTGATTCAACAATAAGATTTACTGGTGACTCGTGACCACCTGTGGGTCCCCACAGAGCCCCCCACTGAGAACCTTTCGCAACTCCTCCAGGCTCTAGTGGTCCCGGCTCCCTGCCAGGGTCTGGCCCACAGCCTGTGCCACCGTCACACTCCCAACTCCTTCTAGCCCTCACGGTGCCCAGATCAGGGCCGATGGAGAGGGCAGCTCAGATTCAGAGCCTGAGCACTGCAGCCGGCTGAAGGGAGGTCTGGTATTTAGGATACTGAGGATTAAACCACACAGATGAGGACAGCTTAAATGTGTTCCCTCCCCGACCCTGACCCAACTAGGAAAGGGGCCACCTAAGGGACACCAGGAGCTCCATGGTCCAGAAGGTCAGGGCCTACGCAATGTCAAGGTCAAGGCCAGGCTGCCCAGCCAACCAGGCCAGGTTACATTGTCCTTTGCAGCTCTGTTCTCAGTATGACCAAGACCCTGCTGTAACGTGAACTTGTCATCCGAGGCAGCTTTGACTTGAAAGTAAAGCACCCAAAGTGTGCTTTCGGCCTGCTAAGGTGGAGGGGCAAGCTGTGGATTCAGCTTTGGGCTGTCGGGCCCTGACCAAGGTAACTTAGGATTGTCTACTTGACCCCCAGCAGACGCCCAGCCCCGCCTGTCATTGGCCCTCCGGGTCCTACTGCATCTCCCAGGCCAGAGTCCCACTTCTCGGCCACGCTGGTCCTTGGGTCACCTCCACTTCTCTGTGGCTGCCTCAGGGAGAAGCCAGGACAAAGCTGGCCTTCGCGAATCTAAGGGGGCGCTCTGCTCACCCAGTTGT